TATTGTCTGAACATTTGACAGGAAACACAAGTTGTAAGGTAGCTTGCCTGGGTCCGGGGTACCCTAGGCAACGCCAAATGATCCCCAACCTCTACGGCCAGCTAATATCTCAAAGAAGATGACCACCTATTCTTCTTTGTTGATCATCGATATCGAGCTTGTAGCATCTGCATTCTACTACCTAAAAAGAGGATGGTGGCACTCGACTAGAATGGCTGCCAGACTAACGCCACAACTGCAACCGCAACCCCTCGCCCTCGTCTCGTTAAAACTCTGGTATGCCTCTACGTGTTCACCCTGAGAATCCGTCGCGCCTAAGTACAGCTAAAGAAGTAGGAATTTGGAATCGTCGGAGAGAAATTTCCCGATCGAAAGAAACCACTGACCTGATGTGACGCCAAAGTGATGGACCATATTAAAGGTGGCTCTTTTACCAGCAGAGAAGAGTAGCGACAGCCCTCTAATTATATTTGGGTCTTTTTTAAAAGCGGTCAGAGATCACCACCATGCTGTAAAAAGCACTACGAGCAACTGGTAAGGCTGCAGGAGATATGGTGGATAGTAGAAACTTCTTTGCATTCGCGTCTCGCTTATGGGCGCTTGCCGAGCAGCGGGAGGCTAACAAGATCAACAAGCGGAGATCAAAGAGATATTTCGGCACAGTAAGAGTAATCATACCACGCACAACTGGAATGCAGATTACCGCGGATATCTTACTAAAATCAAGGGGAATACAAGTTTACCGCGATTTTTTCGGAGCCCAAAAAAGTTTTCTGCTTTAATAGACTATTACAACTCGATCATTGGAATCGGAGCCCTGTTAACTTATTCACAGATTCGAAAGTGGGCTGCAAGCACTTTCTGAGAAAAAATTTTCATAGGAGATTCGAAAAGCGTGAGGTAGCTATTGAGTTTTCTCTCTGCTACATCAAAATAATTTGCTGTCTTGTCCAAATTGCAGACCAGAGCTCCAATGATATTATAGTTATCAGAAATTACCAGACAATCGAACAGCAGATCCACCGGTTGCCCACCGTTGGCAACAGTAGTCACCGTCACCGACGGTAATAAACCTATCGTCTATCGATTCCAGACATAGACTGCGCTACCGCTTGTCGGTACCGATCGCCGATAACCTCGCCTTATAATTTTAGCTTAGTTTATGTCTAACGAATATACCTAAACGAATGTGTCCTATTTTTTCCTGTTGATTTTAATTCCTGCAGCTCATAGTGGATTCAATGTGGGCGATGTCCCGTGCCAACTAGCCAATGTTTGCAAAAAAGCTCACAAGTTGTCTGCTCATTTGAAGTTGTATACAGGCCACACGATTATACGTTACTTTTGGTTAGCCTATAGATTCTTCAATAAAATACCAGTACTACAACTTTGCTATGAAATATTCTCACCCGACCAAAGCGCCGTCGAATGCCTGGTTTATTGAAATCCATATTTAAGATTTGTGTAAAGACAAAATTTTTGATTATTTCCTAACATTTAGATCCTAAAGTTATCATATCAGATGTTTACATCTTTTCGCGCGATTGACTACAAAAATAAAGTGGCGAAATTCAGTAGTTTAGATTACAGAAATAATGTATATTAAATACTAGAGGAAAAATAAGGATCAATCGAAGTTTCTAATATGAGCAATTATTTAGACATTTACAAAAGATCAATACCAAAATTGATAAAAATCGAAACCTTTTCCCGAACATATTTTTCAATTTAAGGCTTAAGGAGTCATTAGACCACACTTTTTTTTTTGAGAATGAGGTAAATTTCGGCGAAATATCGCTGCTGTGCGAGCAAAGCCGTGGCGGTCATTTGTCCGATGTGCTAGATCTTCCAAATATAACGCTAATCTCTACGCTTTATGCTTCAATAGAAAAAATTTAAATAAATGTGTTTTCGATCAAATTAAATTTAAAAGTAAAAAAAAAAAATCACAATTTAACTTATAGACAAATATAAATATATATTTAGCTAATATTTGTATTTTCAAATTTCGCTCACGCAGAACAAATTTTTGCTTTGGGTTTTAAAGAAAAAAAAAAATAGGTTATGAGCGCTGGATTATAATTTGGGTGTCAAAATAATTATGTATATTTATGTAAATTTTTTTAAATATTTCCTAATTTTCACTTTATGTACATACATACGTATGTATACTAGACTGCATCACTCCCCATACAAAAAAAAATCGGTACTATTTTTCCATTGGAATTATAAAATCTATTATATTTTAAGACGTCCACCAAAATATTTCCAAAAAATATTAAGATTTATGTGAGCTGGACCAATTTCAAAATACCTCTAAAAATGGAGTTTATTATGAATAAAAATAGTTTGTTAACATTTTTTTTTGAAAAAATCCCCTCAAATGACAAAACGGTTTAAGCTTAAAAAATTTGCATAAAAATATTAAAAAAAATAAAAAAAAAATTTGAACGGAATCGTAATAAATAGATTTTTGATGCCGTTTTTTAATTTTTTTCAAAGATTGGTATAAGAAAAACTTGAATAACTGAGCCTAAACTCTTCTGATTTAGACTTAAGAAGTGTCGGTGGAAAGGTATTTTCTCACCCTTTTTATTTCTTTGCTAATAAACTCGTTCAAAGGATGAAAGAGAAAGGTAGGATGAACGAACGTCATTCAAAGTTGAATTAAGATGTGTTGGTATTTGAAAAAAAAAATTGGGGCACGAATGATTTTTTTTGGACAGAAATAAAAACAGTGTGAAAATACCTTTCTACTGAGATCCCATAAGTCTAAATCAGAATAGTTTTGGCCCAGTTATTCAAGTTTTTCGTAAATCAATCTTTGAAAAAAGCAAAAGAAAAACATCATCAGAAATCTCATTCTTACGATTCCGTTGAAAAGATTTTTAAATATTTTTATGTAGATTTTTTAAGCTTAATCTGTTTTGTCATCTGAGGGGACTTTTTTCAAAAAGTTCTTTACGAAACTATTTTTATTCATAAAAAACTCCATTTTTGGACGTATTTTCAAGCTCACTTAAATATTAATATTTTTCCCAAATATTTTTGTGAACGTCATAGAATATAATAAATTTTGTAATCTCGGCGGAAAAACCGCAACTTTTTTTGGTGATGCAGTCTAATGTATACATATAAGTATATGTGGTATTTGTTTGACTTGTAAGCCAAAATATGTATTAAAATTCAAATCGGAAGCACATGTTTGTGCATATCATTTTTTTAGCTAATTGAAAAAAATCAAACTACCAGTTTAGTTATTTTTGATCTATAATTTCCGCAATTATCTTGTTACACACATTAGGATAATAGGTAATTTGTGTAATGGACGAAGGAAACTGTCAACAAAGAGAATAGTATAACAAAGTACTTCCATATGGATATTTGCTCAGTTAATATTGTTTAACCCTTTGTAGATATAAAACTCATAGATTTACTACAAAAATCATACTGAAAATGGTTTTACACACCAAATACCACAGGAAAATAAATCCAGTACTACAGCGCGTATACGTAACGTCATTTGGTAAAAACTGTGCGGGTTTACTATTGAAGTAAATCCTTAAACTAATGCTTAGTTTCTCTTCACATGCTAGCCTAAAATAGGCTTTCCTTGTGCATAAAAATCTAATCTTCAGGTAATATAATACATTATAGCCTGCGAAAAATTTAGCGGAACAGGAAATTCCTGTACTCCGTAATGAATCTGATTTTGTAGGGAGAATGGAAAAGTACTTCAACCAGACAAAAAAAAAAAAAATATTGAGTAAACTGATGAGCAAGAATAACTGCTTTTTTTATTAAAAAAAAACTAACCTTCTTATATTTTTGGCATTCATTAAAGCACACTTTTCAACCTGAATGTTCCCGAACAAATTTCGAAAAGTTAAAAAAAATCTGAAAAGTCCTCAAAAAAAAAACAACGAAAAAGTTGCCGAAAGATCTAAAAAAGCCAATCAGGGAGAATTTCGAGAAGTTTGAAAAATACTATCAGTTTCCGACAGTTTCCAAAGATCCCCGAAAAATCTCGAAAGATCAAAAAAAAAAAAACACTAAGAATGTTCAGAAAGCCTTAACGGCTTTAGAACCGAAAAAATCCCCAAATATAAAACCCGTAAAATTCCTAAAAGTCCCAAAAATTCTGAAAAGTCCCCGAAAATTGCAAATGTTGCAGAAAAATCCTAAAAACCAAAACTCGACAAATACCGAAAAGTACCAAAAATTGTTCTAATTGTTTTAGAAAATTTCCGAATAACCCTGAAAAATCCCGAAAGATCCCAAAACAAATCACTCAGAACCCTTAATGTTCCTAAACCAATCTGAACGGCTGTTAAACAAAAAATTCTGAATGCTCTCGAAGAACCCGTAAAACCTCTAAGCATTTTATTTTACGCTCAAAGCAAAATCAAATATTTATATGTATGTACGTACAGCAAAAAATAATCGGTGTTTTTAACTCAAGATTATAAAGTTACTATATTGTAAATAACTACATACGTACATGCATATATATGTATGTATGTCTCTAGCTGAATTTCTCAAGTTTTTCCATATGCGGCCTTTTCAATCTCGGCCACAAAGCCATTGAAGCTTTACAGTTGACCTGTGGATTAGAGGCACTGTGTACAAAAAATTGAACCAGAAAAAATGTCGTTTACGTTTTTGGCCGTTAGGCCACGATATGTAAGTACGTAACAGCAGCAGTCGAATGAAGAAATAACTTCTAACACACCATGCAACTTCATCTACGCATACTTTATGAATTCATTTGGCACACCTTTTCTTGAATGCTTGCGATACTTATTTGGCCTGCTAGAGGGTTAAAAGAAAATTACTCAATTACACTGCCAGTAAAATGATTGCTACAAGGTCATTTAAAAAGAAAGTGCATATAAAAGTTAACATGCTGTTATCGTACTTTAGTAGAAAGGCTTCTGATATCTTCACTTAAACAACAACCTTAGCCAGGAAAACTTTCAAAAGAGATTCTCTAAGTCGCAATGCCGCGCATTTATACGCTGCAGCACTTCCTGCACTATCCCCAACTCACTTTGAATCTAGCCTGGTCGGATCCCTTCGCATGGAGTGGTTCACGCAAGTACAGCTCCCATGCCATTTGGCTGCGGCGCGCGCTCTTCATATTCGGTGCACTCAACTTGGTTTATCAAAATTTTGGTATGTTGATTTATCTTTTTATGCCACATGAGATTAGCACAGAATCTGTTATTGGACAAATAACTGAAACGGGTGGCATAATGGGCCTCACCATGGTTGGTGCTTGCAATATGTTCGTCATGTACTGGTATGGAGGACGCATTAGCGCGCTATTGGAGGAGTTACAAAATCTTTTCCCAACAGCACGCGCACAATGGCGTGCAAATTGTGGCAGACGCTTGAGGGGCGGTATGTATAAATGCAGACGTGAGGTTGAATTTACGTTGCACGCTTGTGCAAATATACATAATATATACGCTTGGTTTTGTTTAGTACGCATTCCGTATCGTGTTGAATATTTTGCTGTAAAATCGAATCGGCTTATGAAGCACACAACCACCGCTTACATATTTGCCTTCAGCTACTACAATTCATTGCCCATTATAGAGTACTTGTATGAGTGGCTCAAACCCGAGGAGGAGCTGAAATTTCGCTATCAGTCGAATACCTGGTACCCTTGGCAGAATAGTCACAATAGCCACTCGTTTATCTCCTTTTTGGCCGCCTACATATGTCAGATGCAATCGTCACTCACCGGTGTCGCTTTCATATTGTCTGCTAAATTTATGCTCTACTTCTTCACCACACAGCTGCAAATGCATTTCGATTATTTGGCGGGCGCTTTGGAGGCTATCGATGCCAGTGGCGAGCTTGCCAATGACGAGTTGAAATTCTTGATAAACTATCACAGCAAGTTGTTGAGGTGAGTTCGATTGTAGTAGTTATAAGGAGTTTTTCGTAATTTAATTTTGTGCTCTTTCTTTTTTTGTCTCGCAGCTTTTCCAAGGAGATCAATGACATCTTCAACATCTCCTTTCTGGTTAACTTTTTCACTTCAGCGGTTGCAATGTGCCTAATGGGCTTTTCTATGGTGATGATTAGTTTGGCTCACGCCTTCAAGTACTCGGTCGGTTTGCTCTCTTTTATTGTATTTACTTTGTTTATTTGCTATACGGGCAGCGAGCTAACCGAATCGGTAAGTGATAGTATTTTTAGTTTTCAAGTTTTCCATTGTTTGCGAATTGTACTATGTATTTGCACTGAAAGAATTTGTGAAGAAAAATATATAAAATTATATGCCACAAAACAAAGAAATTTCACAAGTAAAATTTTTATGCATGGCTGCTTTCTTACATCTTCGAGAAATTTTTAGATTTTTTTTTGGTATGTTTATCAATATTTTTTATAATCGAAATATGGTTTCGATATTTTGAAATATTTTTGAAAAACCTTCAACAAAATTTTTTGAATATATGTAGTGTTCTTTAAATTTTTCGCATGGCTCTCTTACATTTTCGATATATTTTTCGATTTTTTTTATTAATTTTTTTATCGATACTTTATATATATCGATATATGTTTTCGATGTTTTGAAATATTTTTTTTGGAAAAGGTTTCTTTATTTTGTGCAGTTACGACCACCGATAAAATTATCGTTTTACACACATAGTTATCGATATCGATATTTTTATATGTATAGATATGAAATACATATTTACATGAACATAGTTTTCGTTACGTTTCAAGACATATTTATCGTTATTTTGCGCTAACTTTTTTGTTCTGTCTTGAAAACTATCGTATATCAATTACATAGATTTTTTATATTTCACGATAAACTTATTGAAACTTCTCGTTGAAATTATGGACGGTTTTCCATAATCGTTTAGCTTTTTTAATAGTATTTATGTATGCGGTTATATTTTCCGATACACTTATTAATATTTCTCGATAAGGTTTTCCTTTTCTCTTGAAAAATATCGTAAATCAATACGATTTCTTTATTTTTTTACCATAGGTTTATTGAAATCGATAAAATTATTGATATTTTTCGATAAGTATGTGTTTACTTTTTCTATATCAATGTCTTAGTCGATAGGTTTTTAAATTTTGTAGCCATGATGGTCAGAGAAAACGATAATTTTTGCCCGAAAAAATTACAAAATAACGCAAAAATTAATATCTTAAATTCAGCGACTATTCTTGATCAAAAGGATAAAAAGCACGATTTTGCAACGATCTAACAATAAACATTTTGATATTTAGCGTATATTTTCGGTCCCTGATTTTTTCGATTATTAGGATTTTAGCTTGGTTGAGGTAAATTTGTTGATTTGGATTTTATTAATAAAAAATATCGTTATTCGAAGACTATATTTTTTTGAAAATTTTTTATCATTTGTAATCAAGGTAAAATCTTTCATCAATCTTCTGTTCCTATGACTGTGTTGTGTTTTTCAATATCTTTTGCAAAAAATATCGTTTTATCGATTTTTTATGCGTCGATATATTTTTGGGTTATATCGATATATTTATCGTAAAAATATTCGATGTATATTGCGATATATATCTACATATACATTTAAAGCTCTCCTATAATCGGACACATTCTGGTAACAAAAAATTGTTGGTTCTTTCCATACAAAATGCTCACGCATACGCAGACTTTTCGATAAATCGACGCGGACACTCAAAAATGTCCAGTTATGAAAAAAAATCTCCCAAAGAGGACCCAAAGCGGTCAATTTAGTTTAGTCCATATTCAGAGATATTTTATTTTCTAGAAAAAGTGTTGCCTTCTTCATCTTGTTTCTGTCTATTGAAGAATAAATATTTTAAAATTTAGAAACCCACATTTCAAATTTTTTTAGTTTGAATTTGAATTTGATTTTTTACGAAATTCCCATTGGCGGGCATCTCTCATAGGTGGACAAAAAGTGGGTGACCATCGATGTCCGCTTATGGGAGTTTTCACTGTATTTGTTTAAATAAAAGTATTGGCGATTTGTTCTATCGAAATTTTTCTACGAAATATTGCTATATTTTTGATTAAAATTTTCGACAAACATATATTTCGATATATTTGTATCGATATCTAAGTCATTTTTTAAGATAAGGTTTAAGGTTTAAGTTTTTCGTTGGCGATTTCACAATTTTCAGTTCTCGGAAAAGGAAAATTAAAAATTTTAATTAAAATTTTATTTTTATTTTTAATTAAAGCTAAATTTTTTTTTACTATTGCATTCTTATGGCAGTGTTGAGCGTCTAGTGATCAAAAGCAAAGAAATTTGAAAAAAGCAGTTATAATGCTATCGAAAATTTTTGAATCTTTTTTTACAAAAAAATAAAAATTAATACTACTTACTATTAAAAAGGTAGCCGTTCGGCAACTGATAGTTATCGATTAATTACAAACGTATTGCTTATTTTACTTTCTATAACCACAAACACAGATTTGTGGTTTTTTCTCCAAATATTAGTGCCACTTCGGCCTCTTTATGTTAACGATAATTTATAAAAGATGTGTATGAAGGACAGATAAATTATAAGCCCTACTTGAGAAAACGGCTCTTATGTTCTGAACACATTGAAAACGACAAGCTACGGGCCACAGCTTCCAATATGATATCTTCGTTATCTAAACGCTTTGTCGATGGCGACATGATTTTTTTGAACGCGGCAGCGACATCATGAATTTGTATGAGTTTGACATAAAAGAAGAGGAAGAACCTTATCTGTCGCTGGAAAAATGGAAATAGATCTAATCGGGCCACAACCGCAGTCGTCGGGTAGCCCTGTCGTCGCCAAAATAATTATCTACATAAGAATACGTGGAAAAATAATTTGACAGCTGTGGTCCGTAGCTCGTCGTTGTCATTGTGTTCGGGCTATCACTGTTTTAATTTTTAATTCTAACAGACAAATATTCTACTACTTTCTTTTTTCTTTTCAGAGCAATAAAGTTCCAGCCGCCGCATTTTATAGCAATTGGTATGAAGGCGACTTGGCTTATCGGAAGATGATACTTTTCTTTATTATGCGCAGTCGCAAACCAGCTGTGCTGAGTGCTTACAAGTTTAAGACAGTTTCAATGCCTACTTTCACCACAGTGAGTTGTATAAGAATAAAAAAAAAAAAAAATATCCCAAATGACTGATTGCCTTTTTGTAATTATTTCAAGATACTGCGGGCATCATACAGCTTGTTTACATTTTTCCAGGCTTTGGGCAAATGAGAGCACTTTTTGAGAAATTATTTAAATGGATTTCATATTTGGCAATAAGGTCATGTGAAATGATATACATACATATATATGTATTTTAGTTGTAGCATTTAGAATCGATATGTTTTGAATTTGAAACGTAAATAAATGTGTAGAACAGTTTCGGGGTGTTATTGTAAATGCATTTTCGGGGAAATTTAACCTTACAGCTGAATATTCCCCTTTTTCAGACATCCGCTGGAACTTAGTGCCGAACAGCTTTGCGGAAAAGTGGGTAAGGGTTCCCGATTTTTGAGGGCTTTTGGCTTGAAGATTATCAAGACTTGCTCACAACTTTACCTAAGTAGTCAAGAAATGATGGCCAGTTTTCAAATTGCCAATAAATTTATGTTGAGTTCTTAAACTAAGAAAACTTTGTCCAATTAATGAATGGACAAACATATAGTATGTCTAGTTTTTATTTTCAAAAATTCATGTCCAGTTAATTAAGAACCAACCATTTAAATATGTGCATCTTTTAAATCACCAAAAATTACAAAATTTATGTTCAGTTTTTATATCACAGAATTCTATGTTCAGTTATTATATTACGAAAAATGTATGTCTAGTTTTTAGGTTGCACACAATTATGTTCAATTTTGAATAACCAAAAATATTTAGTTTTCTAAAAGTTAGTTAAAGTGTATGTAAATTTTTTTCCTAATGCCAAAAAATGTGTCCAATTTTAAATTTATTTTCAGTTTTTAGATCACAGAAATTTATCTTCAGAGAGGAAATGGCCAGAATTTTATGTCCATTTTTTATGTTGCCATAAAATTATATCCAGTTTTTTAATAACCAAAAGTTTATGCCCAGCTATTATACGACCAAACATAAAGATAAACAAAAGTGTATGTAAATTTTTTTTCTATGTCCAATTTTAAATTTAATTTCAGTTTTTAGATCACAGAAATTTATCTTCAGAGAGCAAATGGCAAGAATTTTATGTCCAGTTTTTATGTTGCCATAAAATTATATCCAGTTTTTTAATAACCAAAAGTTTATGCCCAGCTATTACAGGACCAAAAATTTGTGTAAATTTGATTTAAACCAAAAAATTATGTTTCATTTTAAATGACTAAAAATGTATGAAAATTTATACAAATTGAGCGTATTTATGTTTATTTTACATATATTTGCTTTAAATTTATTATGCAGCCAATAATTTTGAACCATACAAAATTATTGATTTTATTATGCACTGTAGTGTGAAGGCTTACGTATTTACATACATCTGTTACCATTTTAGGCAACTTTTAGATAATAAGCTCCTTTAGATATTAAAATTTCGAAACAAACTACTTTTTTTTTGTTCATTTAGCCAAACTACTAAAGCTTATTATTATAGAATTATCGATAGTTTTATTAAATGCAGTCCTTAAATCATTTACCATGAATAAAGTAAAAATTTTCTGTTTGCAATTATTTTATATTTATTACTAAGTATTTAATATTTGCACAATTTCAGTAATTAATTTGCCACAATGCCACACATTTTATCTTTAACCTATTTGTTTATTTACGCAAATATGCATGATAATCATTTTGTATTTAATTATCTTAATTTGTAGCAACAGAAGAAAACATACATGTATGTAAAAACACTGTGTAACCAAGAATAGTCTGCTCGTGGTTATATTGAAAGTGGCGTAGAATTTTCGGGGTGAAGTGCAAAGCCTTACCTTTTTTGGGCAGAGACGAAGCTCCCAGGAGCTATTTCGGTGGCAAGGGATTTTAAAGCCGATCAAGCCCCTTTTTATATCTATGACTTTCTTGTAAGAATAAAGACTGTCTAGACTAGACTAGAATGCTATTATGTAATTGTTGCACAGTGAAACAAAGCATATTACTCGATCTGAAAACACCTAAAAACTAAATACGATATTAATAAGCCGCGAAAAAAAAATGCATTTTGCGAATACGACTGCCATCACTTCCATACACATAATTTTTTTCCTTTTAAATGCTAACCGCAGGGGTTTTATTTTTTATTTTTATAGAACCAACTAAGTCGAGCATTTATTGCATGCTGCTAGTAAAATACATTAATTTCATAACCGCAAGCACTCATGCGAAAGCGCATAACTTTAAATCACCTGAAAGTTTCTTGATTTTTAAAGAGGTCCCTTAAGCGCTGCTTAGCTTTGCTGTATAGCCGAGTGTCGCATTGTTTTGTGAAAACACCAAATCGTTTTGTTTTTCACTCCTCAATCTCTTAGCAATTTCACCTTCCATTATGGACATTAACTTCCGTTGCAAGTCACTTTCGACTGACGGCTGGTCACAGCGATGATTATCGCCGTTAAAACTTTCGACATAAATGAACTAGCAAAGTTTCTACAGAACATTTTGATTGCTTTCGCGCTTACATACAAACTCACTCTCGCTTCATGCAGTTTTGTGTTTTTGCCTTCTTCACACCTGAAAATGTCGAGATATTCAAATATCAAGTAAAATTTCGTGAAATTCTTGAAATGTTTTTTATTTTGAATTAAGTTTCTTTTCAGAGGTTTTAAATTTTCATCACTCCACAAACATCAACAACACACTGTCATTTTCCACAGCCGTTATTTGTTGTGTTTGTCATGCGTACGTGACGCAAACGTAGCGGAAAGCAATGTGCTGTGATGGGTCATAGTGTTTTGAAATTTGTTTTCGTTGCTGTCACGTTTGCTGGCGTCAAAACAGTAAGATAAGTGGACACAAAGAGATGAAAGGGCAAAGAACAAAAGCTCAAAAGATGCCAGAACTTGCGCTATTGAATATGAAATTAGGTGACTCGAAAGGAGGGGCGGGAAATCTCAACAAAGTCTGAAAGTCAAATCTGGATTAAAGCTAAGAGGGATTTCAACTTAAATGTCGATTAATTCCGTTACGAAATTACAAAGTAACGGACGCCAAGGTACAGAGCAAAGTTATTTGATATCGGTAACAACTTTTGACATCTGAATGAACAACGTACGTCTATCTTTGAAAGAGAAACAAAATATTCAAATTCATATTTTTGTTCATATTCGTATTCATACTTATATTGATATTGATATTCATATTAATTTTAATATCCGAATTTACATTCGTATTCTTATTCACATTCAAACTCATATTCGTATTCATATTCATATTCATATTGATACTCATATTCATATTCATATTCATATTCATATTCATAATCATATTAATATTCATATTCATGTTCGTATTCACATTCATATTCATATTCATATTCGTATTCATATTCATATTCATATTCATATTCATATTCATATCCGTATACATATTCATATTCATATCCATAAACATATTCATATTCTGGAACGAATTTCCGTCATCCCTTGTCAAGTTTGGTCTGGAGACAGAACGAAAAATTAACACTGAAGATGTCACAATGTCATACACCTACCTTGCCGGAAACAGCAATAACCAAAAAGGAAATATCCATATTCTATATCCAGAATTTAATTTTCTAATTTTTGAAGAAGAAGTAGTGTGCATTTTTGCAAATATTTGTTTAATTTATGTCTGAGTGCACCGTTGAGTGTCAGCACGAAAAGTCATGAAGAGTCTTAAAAGTTCTCCATGCAATGTGGCAACATTATAATGGCACCTTCGGTATGGCAATGGTGGTGAAATAGGATTTTGATTAAAAGAATATGAGCTAACAAGCCTAGTTACCTACTAGCCAATAATTAATATTTTCTATATTTTTAATCAGTTACATTTTATCTAATATGCTGGTATTATATTTCATATATTTTTGCAAATATTTTTGGCAACATTATTGCAAGTAATTAGTATTATTAGTGATTTAATAATTTTCGAAAAAGGCCTAGCAAAAAAAATGTGGAAAAATATGTAAATATGTATGTATATATGAATTTGTATAAAATATTTAATAATTAATATTCAAATTTAATGGTTGTAATTAATATCTACTGAAATTTATGCAACAGGGAATTATTACGAAATAACGCATGAAAAAAGTGTGAAAATAATAGCAAGAAATATTTTTTTTTTTATAATTTCAATTTTAGTGCATAAACAAGAGCTATACATCGATAGCTATCGAATTATGCAATAATTATAACATAATAGTTTAATTATAGCATGGGTAATGCCTTGGGTGGGGTTTGGCAGAACTATTGTAGACTTTTGCTGAAGCTGCTGGCACTGTATGGGGACATGACGGCGCTGCTTAGGAAAACCGTCACAGATTTACGAGTTTGCAGCAATCTCTTTCGATCATTTTGCCATCAATTAAAAATGCTCCCACTCTCCACTCACCGCTTAGATTTAACAACTTTTAAATTGCTCGGCGCAATTGCTTTATTGCCTGATATTGCCATCTGAAAATTTATCGCGACACTTTCATTTGCTTTCTGCTGTTTTATTTGACTTGTAGCTGCGTTTTTTCTAGCTTATTTTCCTTACGACTTTTTATGATACTTTTCCGTTGCATGCAGCCGCTGTAATAAAGCAAAGAACGATTGCCTTTTTACAACTCCTTTACTTAATTTACCTGCGCGCTAAAGTAGGCAATCGCAGTAGCCCATCTCATTGTTTGTCAATTAATTATGTTGTCACCTTCACGCCGACTGCGTTTGGCGTAATGTTAATGAATAAAAGTGGAGGACGTTGACAAATCAAAGCCGGGGTGTTAACGAGCGCGAAGGAGGCAGCGTGTAACCAAATGTGGGGTGGCGCATGTAATACAGCTACATAGAAAGGGCTGGGAAAAGGGTTCAAAATAAATATCTCCTTTAGTGTTGAAAAGGACTCTTAAACTGCTCCATTTATTACATTTATTTTATTTTTTTACTTTTCTTCTGTCACCTTAATTCGCCCCTTTTTCTTTTTTTCTTTATTTCTCGCTAAGGTATTTAATTGTAATTATATAAGATTTGTAAGTACATTCAGTAAACCATTTTTCTCAGAAGCGTCCAGCATTAAACGTAAATCCCTTAAATGTTATTTCA